TCACCCCACTTTTGATCAGGACTCCTCTATAGGATCTTTGATCAAAATGATCAGTAATGAATAGGAGTTGGGCATCAGGGTCTCATGGTGAAGGAGTAGTTGTTTGTGGAGGGCCCCAGATCTCTACCCTGTCCCCTCCTCCTCTTCACATCTGGATGGGTTGGAACGGACTCATTGGAACTTAACAACGATGACAACGCTCATGCCTGCCTGCCTTTGCTGCGCCAAGTGAATGAAGACCAAGTGTACCTTGGAGGGCCACGGGCTAGCTTTTGAGACCCCAGGCCCTACCCCACGAACTAGGAGGGGGAACACAAATAACTACAAAGCAAGATTAGGAAAACTGATTGGGCTGTCAAACCTCTGGACTGCAGTGCGGTATCCTTAACCAAGGCACTACACTGCTGCCAGCATGTCCCTGAGCACTGTCCTAGCTCCTGAGGACAGTGGCATCTGCAGTCGCCCTGCAGGACCTAGCAGAGCCAACCGCACAGCAGGAGTTTAAAAGGGAGAGAGAGAGAGAGAGAGAGTGTTCCCAATAAATTTTTACTCATGGACACGGGAATGTAGGTTTCATACCATTTTCTAGTGTCAGGATACATTGTGATTCCCGTCCTACCATCATCACCATGTAAAAATCATTCTCAGCTCACAGCCCATCTGGCTTTGTCCCCTCAAGCCGTCCTTTGCAGGCACTGCTCTAGCAGATCGAATATGGTCGCGTCTAGAATAAATGGCTGGGGAACACAAAAACAGGCCAGCTAAATACAACTAAAAGCTAGATTTCATAAAGATCATAATATCCCTCTTACCAAAGTTATAAAATAGTCTTACTTCTTGGCAATAGAAACCAAAACTGACACAAGCTATAAACTCCAGCATATACACACACACACACATATATACATATATATAGCCACTAAAATAAAAAAGTAATCTTTAAATCCCTATTTTTTTAAAAGCAAAATAGCCAGAAACCAATTAGAAATGTGCCCTATTGTTCCAGCTTTAAAAAGAAGAGCGAATAAGTCATACTAGACACATTTACTTTGAAAGTCTTTCAGAATAAATGCCTCCTAGAAAGGAGAGCTAGAAACCACAGCCTAATATCTTCCTGAGGTAGTCAGAGGAGTAAGCCGCAGCCGACACTGTGAAAATGCCCAAGACTCACATTGATTTTCCCGGTTCAGAGACTGAAAATTAGCTAGCTGGGGAAGGACGCTCACAAAGGACTTGCCAAGAATGAAAGCCCTTTGGCTGTCTGCACATCTGGTTATCTCCCTGATCAAGGAGACCAGAAGCCCTGGATGGTGCCCAGCCACACTGACTGGTCATGCTGAGCGAAGATTCTAGAGAAGAATGCTAATCCAAGTGAGGAGAATGGGGAATAACATTTTAACTTCTCAATGGGAGCCAGACTTTGCATGATGAACCCCCAAACTATGTGGTTGTTGTTGTTAGGTCCCGTCACGTCAATTATGACTCATGGGGACCCCCAGCACAGCAGAACAAGACCCCGCCCGGTCCGGCGCCATCTGCACACCTGTTTTTAGGTGGGAGCCCATGGTTGCAGACAACGTGTCAGTTCATTTTGTCAAGGGTCCTCCTCTTTTGGGCTGCCCCTCTACTTTACTAAGCATGAGGTCCTCTTTAAAGACTGCTCTCTCCCGATCACATGTCCAAAGTACGTGAGATGAAGTCTCCCAGCCTTACTTTTAAAGCGCATGCTGGCTGTACTTCCAAGACAGACCTGTTTGTTCTTTTAGCAAAGACCTAGAGTCAGAAAACCAAAATGGAAAAGCACGTTCATCAACTTAAACTGAAAGACTAAAGAAAAAAATGCAAGGCTCAAGTTATAATGTTTGAAATGTACAATGTTGTGTTGAAAGACTCTGGGGGCAAAATATCGAATAACACAGGGAGCATTGAAAGAAGATGGAAGAAAGAGAGTTCTGTACCAAAAAGACCTAGTCCACATTCAACCATTTCAAGAGGTGGTATCTGATCAAGAACCAACGGTCCTGAGGAAAGATGTCGAAGCGGCACTGAAGGCATTAGCCAAAAGCAAGACTCCAGGAATTGATGGAATATCAACAGAAATGTTCCCACACATTAATGAGGCACTGGAAGCACTCACTTGTCTATACCAAGAAATTTGGAACCTGGCCAACTGACTGGAAGAGATCCATATTTGTATCCATTTCAAAGAAAGGTGGCCCAACAGAATGTATTCATTACAGAACAGTATCATTGCTCTCATATGCAAACAAAATCTTTTTCAAGATCATCCAACAACAGTTGCAGCAGCACACTGCCAGGGAGCTGCCAGAGGTTCCAGCCGGATCCAGAAGAGGATGTGGAACAACAAAGGATATCATTGCTGATGTCAGATGAATCTTCACTGAAAGCAGAGAATAATAACAAAGGTGTTTGCTTGGGTTTTATTGACGATGCAAAGGCATTTAACTGTGTGGATCTTGAACTATGGATAGCCTTGTGAGAAACGGGAGTTTCAGAACACTTCATTGTGCTCCTGTGGAACCTGGGTAAGAGCATCCTGCCTGGTTTAAAATCAAGAAAGGTGTCTGTCAGGGTTGTATCCTCTCACCAGACTTATTCAATCTACATGCTGAACAAATCATCAGAGAAGCTGGATTGTATGAAGAAGGCAGTATCAAGATTGGAGGAAAGCTTATTAACGACCTGCGATATGCAGATGTTACAACCTTGCTGGCTGAGAGTGAGGAGGACTTGAAGTACTAGCAGAGGCACCTAATCTTACCACAAAAACTGCATTAAAAATGTGCTGGAAAAACTCGGCTTGCACACGACTATATACAGTATGGCTGATGAAGATCGTGGATTGCAGCCTTCAATGTGGATCACAACTGAATGTAAAGAAAACCAAAATCCTCACAACTGGACCAACAGGTAAATTTGTGATAAAAGGAGCAAAGATGGAAGTGGTCAAGGATTTCATCTTGGATGCACAGTCAGTGCTCATGGAAGCAGCAGTCCAGAGAGCGAACAATGCATGGCTTCCCAGGGCCAGGCTCTGTCATTGGCTGGATCCCAAAGTCCATGGGTCAGGCGGAACCCCGCTCCTCTGTGATGGCAGTGGGACAAGGAGGACAAGCCAGTGCCCCTCCATGCCAGTGCAGCCATGCCCAGAGTGGGTTCCTCCTGCCCCGGCATCTGGAGGAATGTCGGTGCTGGCCAGTGTCTCTGAGAGGCAGATGGAGTCTCCCTGAGGCCCCAGAGCCAGAAGGTAGGTTGGGGTGGAACCCTGGCAGATGCTGGGGAGCAGCCCACAGGCCACCACCTTGTGGGGAAGAACCTGCATGGCTTCTTAAGACAGGATCCTGGAGTGGCCAAGCGCAGACGTCCGCCTCAGCCCTCTGGCTCAGCCAGTGGTACCATTTCTGAGCCCTCGGGCAAGAGCAGTTTCTTGGTCTTCCGGCTTCCTAACCCCAACTCCCCAGGGTGGGCTACCCTCTGAGCACCCTCCACTGGCTCTAATGCCTTCAGACTGGGTGTCGAGGTGGCTTCTCCCTACCTCCACACTCACTTGGCAGAAACAGGAGGGGCCCACATTGCAGTTGGGTTGCTGAGGGGTGGGCGGGTACAAAGAGGTGTGAAGGTGCTGAGGTGGGGGTTGGGGGCTGGGCTGAACTCACAGGGGACACAGGTGAGTGACCGGGCTCTCTGAGGTGGAGCTGTCGGCAGGGAGGACCCCTAGGCAGCACGTGCTCCTGCTGACCAGGCCCGAACCCCCAGCTTTTGCCCCTCCACTGGCCGCTGGCCTCTCCCAGCTTGGCTCCCTTCTGCAGTTCAACCCTGAGGACAAGAAGCTTTAAGACCATTCCTGCGAGGCAGTATTTCCAGGCGGGTGCCATACACAATCCTACTTCGTCGTCACAGCCCCCGAGTCCAGTGAGGGTTCGCCCCACTTTACAGGGAAAACCCACAGCTCAGAGAGGTTAAGTCAAGGCGCAAGATCAGAACCTCACCCTCAATGCCCATGCCACACCTGCCCCCTGTGGAAAATCACGAAGCAGGAGCCGGGCTTTGGTCTGTGACGGTCAATGTCTTTACTTCTAAAGCATACATTGGACTCACTCTATAGTAACATCAAAGGGCCTACCTAAAGTGGCATCATTCTTTTTAAAAATCCAAAGGCTCCAAAATGACATGAAATTAAACTGTACAATGCAATGCAGTGTAATAAAATGCTTTTAGAAAGCGAAACGAAAGAAAGACATGACAGTTGGGACGTTTGTCAGCTTGAGGTCCGTGTCGTCTGAGGCATTGTGACCAAGCGCCAGTGGCAAGGGGAGAGGCCCCGGCCATCCTTGGGCCAGGGGTGGGGGACCCAGTCAGATGGAAGAGGAGGCCGTGGGGATTGCAGGCTCTGGAAGGTAACGAGAGGCAAAGCTCTTCTGGGTCCTTGGTGCCCAGGTTAAAGTCTTCTTCGAGGACCCGGGGCCATGGAGAGGAGGGCTGGGGAGAGCAGGGCACAGAGCTGCGTTCAAAATAAAAACATGGGCACTAGAGGCCCCTCTAGTGCCTGGGTGGCATACACGGTTGTGATGGATGAACTGAGAAGCCGGCGGCTCAAATGCACGCAGTGGTGCAGCAGAAGAAAGCTCTGGCCATCTGCCTCCACCCCGCATGCAGCTAAGAGAGCCCTGTGGAGGGGCTCTGCTCTGTCACATGGCGGGCCGCTGGGAGTCAGGCCTGACCAGATGGCAGCAGGTGTGGGCGGTGTGTTTCTGGGCCTCCTGAGCAGGGCCCAGGCCATTCAGCCATGGCGGTGGCTTCCTTCATCCACATGCCAAGTGCAACAGCCCACGCTCCCTGCCCCATCCCCAAGCCCTGGGCACTCAGGGCTCCTAGGAGGATCCAAGGGGGAACACTCTGGCCTTGGATGTGGCTGGGTGTTATGTGCACAAGAACCTTAGAGCCCAGGCCAACAGCCAGATGGGCAGGAGGCTGGGGGTATCCGGTGGGCTGGGAAGCCCTGGGGGCAGAAGCTACTTCCCGCCACTGACTCGCAGGATTCAGGGGGAGGACTTGTGCAGCCCCAGTGGGGAACTCCTGGCCTAGGTCTGGACTCCCTGTGGCCTCGGTCCGTCTGAGAGCTCACCACCCAGCCCAGTGCAGGCAGGAGCTGCTCTTGGCACGAAGAGCCTGCCTTTGCTCCTGCAGCACCACAGTGCTGTCCTGTCACTCCGGACAGACCTGCCCAAGGCCTCTTCCCATACACCTTGCCCATCTGATACCTGGCCGATGCAGGTGTCACTGGTGAAAGCTCACTGCCTGCCACTCTCCTCCCCAGGACCACAACCCAAATCTGGTCTGCTCCCCCAAACAGCAATTTGATGAGGGATGCCCTATACCCAAGATCCCAAGGTGGCACCAACAGTGTGCACTTGACTGCGAACCTGAAGGTGTGTGGGTCACACTCACTCAGTGGCGCCATAGAAGAGACTGTGGCCACCTGCTGCCAGAAAGACCAAGAGAGCTCAAAGCAGTGCTTGCGCTCTGGAACGCACAAGGCGCCAGGAATCAAAACGTCCGCAGCAGGTTGCGTTGTTTGGCCCCCCCGCATCTGACTGGCCTCCTTCCCCAGGTTCTGACCCTCCTCCACACCCACTGGGATTCCCATCAGGCTGAAGGTGGGTGGGACGGTTTCAAGGGCCTCACTGACCCCTCAAAGGTGGGGAGAAGTTGCTGCACTTCTAATCTGGTTCCTGGACCACTCAAGAAACCTAGTCCCCGTGCTGAGTGATGAGGCTGGAGCAATCAGGTCTAGGGTCACAGCGGTCTACTGCATCCATACCCCACCCGGCCCGTTCCTGGCACTGCCAGGGGTGCCGGGCAGCTACCCCCTCCGCCTGCCCACTGCCCTCTCTGCGCGCATGCCCCAGGCCTGAGAATCCCACGCTGGGTGGGAGGCAGAGGTGCATGCAGGATCAGGGCAGGCAGGCGGCCACCTGGTATGTGCCCTCAGCGGCGGCGGCAGCGGCGGCAGCGCTGTGCTGCGCGCTATGCTCCTGCAATAGCGCCACATCCAGGAAGCGCTCGCCACACCATACGCACTTGAACTGCTGCTCCCGCGCATGCACGCCCTGGTGCTTGTTGAGATGCTCCCGCTGTTTGAAGGCTTTGTCGCAGTTGGGGCATTTGTAGGGCTTCTCCCCCGTGTGCACCCGCCGATGCCGCTGCAGGTCAGACGCATACTTAAAGCGCTTCTCGCAGTCCAGGCACTTGAGCGGCTTCTCGCGGGCCGGGTCGCAGCGGTGCTGCACGAACTCGGAGGAGGAGAAAAAGCGCCGCTCGCACAGGGTGCAGCGCAGCGGCTTCTCGGCGGCCGAGCAGTGTGCCAACTGGTGCTTCTGCAGGGCGGAGGCCCGCTTGTAGGCCTTGCTGCACACGGGGCACTTGAAGGGCCGCTCGGTCGTGCCCGGCAGGCACTTGTGCCGCAGCAGCTCAGCCGACTGGTCGAAGCCCTTCTGGCACACGGGGCATTTGAATAGGGTCTCAAGGGTGTGCACGTGCTGGTGGTAGAGCAGGTGGCTGGGCTGCCCGAAGCCCTTCTCACACAGGCCACACTTGAGGGGCTCTTCGGCCTTGTGCGTGCGCCGGTGCCGCATCAGCGCGTACTGCTGCTTGAAGCCCATGGGGCACAGGTCGCACTTGAAGGGCCGCTCGGCGCTGTGCGTGCGCTCGTGCTGCCGCAGGTCCGAAGGGCGCTTGAAGGCCTTCTGGCACTCGCCGCAGCGGAAGGGCCGCTCCCCGCTGGGCGTGCACGGGTGCTGCAGCAGCTCCGACGACTCCTTAAAGTGCAGCTCGCACACGTTGCAGCGGAACAGGTGGTGCTCGCCCGAGTGGGCGTACATGTGTCGCACCAGGTGCGAGCGGTGCTTGAAGGTCTTCTCGCAAACCGCGCACTTATAGGGGCGCTCTGCGCTGTGCGTGCGCTTGTGGTGCACCAGGTGTGACGACTGGCTGAAGCTCTTGTCGCACAGCGTGCATTTGTACGGCTTCTCGCCCGTGTGGATGCGCTCGTGCCGTGAGAGCTCCGACAGGTGCTTGAAGGGCTTCTGGCAGATGGGGCAGCTGTAGGGCTTGTCGGGCTGCTCAGTGGCTGTGACGGCGGGGGCCGGGGGCGGCGGGGGCAGCGAGGGCGCAGCGGAGGCGGCTGGCTCCACCGCCTCGGCTGGCTTGTAGGTCTTCTCGCAGATGGAGCATTTCACCAGGCCCCCGACCCCACTGTGCGCACTGTGGTGCTGAGCCAGCGAGGTGAGCAGGGAGAAGCCCATCTTGCAGACGCCGCACACAAAAGGCTTTTGCTCGGCCTGCATGCACTGGTGCTCCAGCAGGTCGGTGGCCTGGTGGAAGATCTTAAGACACTGCGTGCACTGGAACGAGCGGTCGTGGCCCGCCAGGCACTGGTGCTCGTGTGGGCTGGACAGGTGCGTCAGGTCGTGCCCGCACACCCCGCACACCCCGCACTTGGGGCCCGGCTCGCCCGCCGCCGCCGGCAGGGGGACATGCTGCGGGGGCTGCAGGCCGGGGTCGGGCTGCAGCAGGATGCCATAGACGGCGCAGCCCAGAGGGTTCTCGGCGGTGCCGGTGGGCAGTGTGTGCTCAGCCAGGGCCGGTGGCGGCTCCGCATGGTGCTGCGGCTGTGGAGGCTGCGGCTGCTGCGGCTGTGTCTGCGGCGGCTGTTGCCAGCTTTCTGACATACTTGGGAAGATGAAGCAGGGTTTGGAGAGTAAGGGCTTCAGTTTCCTACTTAAGGTGGCTCAACCCAGAGAGAAGGTCCCCGGGTTTGGGGGTGAACGAGGCACAGCCAAGGGACTGGTCTGGAGACCCCAGCATCAACCAAGAAGCCCAGGGACTCTCCGGGCTAGACTCTCAGCAGGTCAGGGAGGTTCCCTTTCCTGGGCGATCAGTTCTGTGGAGAAGAGAGAAACCGTTTGCCTGAGGCAGGAGACTGGAACAGCTGTTTCCTAGGCCCTCTTCCTGTTCTGCCTACACTGACCACGTGCACATGGCCACCTCAGAGACAGATCTGGTCCCCTCACACATGATCAAAGCAGTCCCCGCTGGCAGCCCCAGGCATTCCCCTCCTCCCTCATTCTCCCAGGCTGGGGCCTGGGCACCCCAGTTTCCCAGAGTTCCCTGCAGCTCTCCACCAACCCTCTTTAATCAGGTACTTCATAGATCAGCCCAGGACACATGTTCTCCTGCCACTACTTACACCCCACGACCCATAGTGCACGCCCCCCACCCCCATAGTCATAATAACCATTGTAGCAATATGAATGCTTTACAAATAAATTCCTACTTGGAAGCTGAATATATGAGCTAAAAGCCGAGGGCCTCTGACTGCTGCCTTACTGGGCAGGCAGCTCCATCTCACCGCTACTTCCAAGTCCCGATTAGGGACTCCACTAATCTGGGAGGTCAAGATGGCCTGCTTGGTTAAGTGGCCAGGCCGTGAGATCGGAGACCCAACAGCACACTGTCTCTTGGCAGTCAATAGTTAGGGTAGCAACCCAGAGCCAGGGATCATTTCAAAAGTCCTCCCCCATGAGGGGCCGGACCACACCCCTCTGCTATGGCCAGTCTCTTCACAGGTGTGGGTGGCTTTAGGAGGCCCTGGGCCAAATGGTTAATGAGCATAAGACTACCCCTGGTTCCTCCCCCCTCCCTCAAGACTACCCCTGGCTCCTCCCTCCCTCTGGCTCTATGTCCCCTCCATGGCACCCCTTCGTCCTCTAAATCTCCCTGATGGTGTCAAGGCCTGTGGGGAAATGCAAGTAAATCTAGGGCTTGCTTTCACACTGTGGGAAGGAGCATGCTTGCCCCAGAGCCTTGCTCTTCATCCCCCTCTCTGAGGCGGCCCACTTCCCTTGCTGAACATTCTGGATAACCAACGGAAGGTGAAACCGACCCAGCCCAGGCAAATCTCTTAACTCACCACTTTGTGGCAGCATAAGGTAATGACAGCGGGAGAGAGGAACTTTTAGAGTCAGCTGCCTGCAACCCACTTTCCAGGATTCCCAACTCCTCTGCCTCTTACATGGAAAAGTTTCTAAGTTTTCCATCCATGGGAAGAGAAGGGAGATGATGCCTGCCTGCACAGGCCAGCCAGGCCTCTAAAGTGTTCTGTCAAAGAAACCCAAGAGTCAGGCTAAAAGCTGTCTGGCTCCTGATCTTCCTGGAAAGGGAGGCAGGCAAAGATCTGCAGCTCTAGGCTGGGGCGCCGCAGGTTGTAGGAGTGTGTGGGTACCACTCCCTATGTGTGCTGCTCCAGGGCAGAGGTATCCGAACACCTTCTGGGTCCAGCTAAGCCAATCTAAATGTTTCCTTGAGCATGAGTGACTGCCAGGCCCAGGGCCGCTCTACCTGAACCCCAGGTCCCACTAACCACTCCTTCTTCTCCTCCAGGAAGGGGCAGCTGGGAAGCCTCTCTGATCACTCCCGGAAGGGTCCAGAGAGGAAGGGAAAGGAGGCCCCTACCTGCACCCACCACCCCAGTCCTTCCTTCTCTGTAGGAAACTCAGTTGAAAGGCAATCGCCTCTCTCCCCGCCCAGCTAGGCTCCCTCCTGTCAGCCCTGCCCGGAATGATCTGGCCACTGCGGGTCTCCGAAAAAGGCCCAGAGCCGCAAGCCCGTTCCAGGAAGCGGCTGCGCGCCGAGGCCAGGCCTGGGCAGCCTAGACGCTCAGGAAGCCAGCGGGTCGACCCCGACCGAGGTGGTGGGGGCGGCCGGGCCCGCTGGG